CATACATGGATTTTTTGACAAACGACCGCTCGAGCAATACTTCCACTTTTTAGTGAACTGGAAATTCGCATATTTTCAAAAAATTTGCATTTGTCATTTTTTCACAGAGCGAGCATTTACCAAAAAAACGACCGGACTTTATCCAAAAAACCGGTCATCATGCACCTGGATGTCCGTGTGGCTCTATAATGCACCACTTCATCCCAGCTGACGCCCTTCCTCCTGCATGTCGGAATGGACCAAAGCACGGTCAATATGAGCCCAAGTGTTAGGCTACAGCGTAGAGATCAATTCCTGCTAATAGCGACCTGCGAGTTTAATGCAAAAACGCATGACTGCACCGGAAAGCCTGGTGCGTTCCAGCTTGGGTTGTCCTCTGTATTCGGTCTATGTGTATTCCCAGCTTAAAAGTACCCCAAATTCTTGGACATACCACGGGAAGCTTTTCGCTGGCACGGTTTATCGACTAACTACGACTTATGGAGCTGTTGTAAGAGACAGATTAGTGTGCGTGTGGCATTTATGTGAGACACATGTTCCATAACAATTTATCAGACTGGAACTGTAAAGAGGTACTACACAATACTCTCAAATAAAACAGGAAAAGATAAAACAGAGAGGAATAACAAACAGGAAGACAACGGTAGGTTCTGGGAAGTCGCAGCTCCTCAGAATGGGACAATGCCGTTGTATTTAAACAATTAACGCACTGATGAATGAACAAATCTGAAGTCTGACAAAAACAAATGCTTCATTGAGATTATCCAAGCATCTCTCGCTTCCTACCTCTCCGCTCAATTTCCTGGAGTTTCTGGAAAACCGTACCATACTGCTTCTTGCTATACATTTCGTAGCCTTTCATAATACTGTGAAAGAGAAATTCCGCATTAACATGAGTGCTTGAAATAGCCCGTTCCAAGACGTATAAATCGACACCTTTTTGCTCCGCTGTTGCATTGCCCTGCAAAAACATTGATCTTACTTTCTGCTTAATTCGAAGATTTTTTCCGCTATTATTGAGACCGGAACTGCATCGCATGGTGGTCAGCCTGCTCGTAATTCTGACATTCGTTTCCCTGCTTTTTCCTTTATTCCAAAAAAAAAAACTCGACATCCTTCACTATTTCAAAAACGATAAATGCATTAAAAAAAACTCATCCGTCATAACTTTTTACAGCGAACTGTATTGCCTTTCAAACAAAAAATTAAGTTCAATTCGCGACTGTTATACAAACAGAAGTTCACCGATCAATTACAAGGTTTAAAACTGGGGGCAAATCAAAAAAAATCCAATGGTTTTAATAAAACCATTGGATTTAAGAGCTTCGAAAAGTTGTTTATCAAAATTGTTTTATTCTTGTTTTTTTTGCACCTTTTATAATAATTTTCAAGCTTAATGATAATTTTTGCACATTAAATACTTTTCGCGAATACCGTGAGTGCCAAGACTGCCCAGATTACTGGCGTAGATAGCCCATATTAGTGGTGTTACTAGAATACTTTCACATTCGGGACGTAACTATGCCAGGCCTTCCGTTCCTGAGCTTCCGGTTGGAATCTACCAACAGTTCAAAGTATGTGCGCTATCTGATCTCGAATTATAAATGAAAAGTTTAAAAAAAATCACTTTACTTAAAACAAAAAAACGAACCTCTGCAAGGCCAAAATCGATGAGTACAATTGTTTCTGGATTTCCATTTCGTAAAAGCATATTTGAGGTTGTCAGATCACCGTGCATTATACCACCGGCATGTAATTTTGCAATTATTCGGCCTAATCGGATACCAAAATCGCTGATCACCTCCTGGAATGCACCAAATGCTTTAATGAAAAGCAAACAACTGAGATTATCAACTATGCAAAAAATCAAAATTCATCAGTGAGTAAAGTATCGTGCCCTTTTTCCCCGTATTTTTAGCTAAAAGTAAACAGATTTAGCACTGATCTATTATCAGCCTTCAGTGCTGACCTAGAACTGATCTGCGACTGATCTGGAACTGATCTACCACATAAGCGAGCCAAGAAAGGCCAGTTTTGGGAGATAAAGCTATCACAATTAAGCCGTCTAAAGTCGATACTCTAGCTAGAGCAACTGCATATACCAAGAGAAATTCTTTAAGACTTAAATTTAAGTTTATTTTTTGAAAAATCCAAAAAATATTTAAATTTAAAATAACTTTTTTAAATTTGTGATTAATTTATATTTTAATTTATAATTAATTAACTAATTCATAATTCACAAATTAATTTTTAACTAACTAATTTATAAATTGAATTTCAAGTTAAAATTAGAAGATTTATAAGTTTTAATAAATTAATAAATTTTAACAAATTAAAAGTAAATTCATAAAAAAGTAAAAATATAAAAATTATAAAACAAAATTAAGGTAAATAAATAAGTTTTAAATTAAGAAAAACAATGAATTAAAAAACTTAAGTTCAAAAAACCAAAAAAACTTAAATTTAAAAAACCTAAATTCATAAAATAAAATTAAAATAAGTTAGAAGTAAAATAAAAAAATTTTTTAAAAAATACAAATTTAGATATATTAAATTGAACAATAAATAATTAAAGCTTTTTAATATCTTCTATGCAATTTTTTATTCAATTTTTATCCAATCCAATTTATCCAATCGAATAATCCAAAACAATTTCATTTAAAAAAGAAAATTTATAAAAACAAGAATTCATTAAATAAATTAAACTACGCCCAAAAAAGGAGTAGGCATTTAAAAAGTTGGCTCCAGGGTGCAATTTGTGAAATAAGGATAAAACAAGGCAGTGAATAATTGTTAAATAATCGATTTGTGAAATGCCATGAAATGGCAAAATTGCAGAGCGTTTTAAAGTTTTTTACCTGAAAATCGGTCAAACACCTGCAATTTTCAATAAATTCCCTGGCACTAACACCATCAACTATTGCTTCCATAATGAACAAGTTTCGATCACGGTCAACAAAATAAACTGCTGGCACATCAATTCCCAACTGAAAATATCACACTTTAAACATCAAATTTTTTTTCAAATTTCTTGTTGTGGGTGGAACTGGGGACAAAATGTGAGTCAATATTTTGAACGTTGTCTTAATATATGCAATTTTTTTAAGATTTTTTTAGAGAAATAATTCGAGGGAGTGGAATTTGAGTGAGGAACAGAGAGAGAGAAAGAGAGAAAAAAGAAATAAACTTAAGTGAAACTCTGGACTTCAGCTACCTTCTATCTCTGATATCTTCTCCATTCTAAAAGGATACAAGGGGGAATTGTGAGGGAGTGGACGACAACGGGCTGGAAGAGAAAGAGAGGACAGGGATAAGGAAGTGCGAGAAAAAGGAGGCAAGAAAAAACATGAGGGGAAGGGGGTCTTAACTCAATCGTTTTTTTTTTTTTTTTATACACCTTCCTTACTTTTATATACCTTGTATTTATGGAACTTATATGAAAGATATGAAACTTGAATATGCAAATTTTTGATCTTTGACTAAAAGTCAAAAGTCGGCACTACCCCCTAGGCTTTCTTTCAATAAAACGCAAAGGCACTTGGAAGTGACCGGAAGTCGACAATTGCAACAACAT